CCTTGTTTTATTAGCATCTTCTGAAACTGATCTCCAGTGCTCCTTAGAAAGGTTCGCAACCGAGTGCGACAAGACCGGAATGCGTGTGAACGCATCTAAAATGAAAAGCCTAGTGCTTTCTCATTCTCCTGCCCGTTGCTCTCTTCAGATTAACGGAGAGGCAGTGGAGCAGGTGGAGAAGTTCAAGTACCTCAGAATCGTGTTTACTGGTGATAAAAAAATTTGAGGAAGAGATCTACGGACGGACTGAAGTAAACAGTGGCGTTCTGCATGGACTAACCCGAACCATTGCGACTAAGGCAGAGCTGAGCATGAAGACAAAACTCTCGATGTTCAAGGCGATCTTCATCCCCATACTCATCTACGGCCATGAGTCGTGGACTATGATCAAAAAATTCGATTCCGAGTACAAGCGGCTGAAGTGGGCCTTCCGAGACGAGTCGCGGGACTTGTCTCGACATAGTATGGAGAACAGAAATCAGTGAGAACTTCAGGATACAGCCTCTGCTTCTTCAGATTATGAAGGCACAGCTGCGATGGTTTCGGAATGTGTTGCGAGCTCCTCCACACAGGAAGGCGAAGCAAATACTTTTTCCCAGCCAACCAGCAGAAAACTCAGGGGACATGCAAGTTTTTTTTTCTGGGGAAGTGTATTGAAAGAGTCTGGTGCAGACTCCGGTTGTCTCTGCCAAAGCTCGGACTCTCGCACAAGATCGGGAACGTTGGAAGCACTGTCTGACGCGCCTGCCTCTGGCCCGAAAGTAGTGGTTATGGAGGATGAAGAGGAGAATTATGGTGGATCTGGTGCTAGAACGATTATGCAAATATTTTTAGCTACGCCTGGTTGGATTAAAGCCTGAAAACCAGCAAAAATTTATATCGCCATTTCCGATATAAGCTGGTGTTCTAGGACATTTCGAAAGATCATAAACCTTCGTCAGCGTATAATCTATACCTTTCTAAACCTAAGATAAAACAGGTTTATTCCGGTAGGCGAAAAGCCTTACAATCAGCACACAGCAGAATTCCTGTAAAATGTAACACATAACAGCAATGAAGGAAGGCAATGCCCATATGCGTTGCGAAGTACACCTTGCAGAATAATATTTGCGTTTTCTTCTGAATTTCATCGCGTTCTACACAAGAAGGCAGTATTGAACTGCGGTAATCTTCAGTAAGCGCTGGGTTAGCACTGACTTGGGTTCTGGTACCTGAACGCAGACTTTCGTTTAAACTTTTCGTGCAACGGACGGCTGTCATCTCTCAGCAACGAGTTATCAAATGGTCGCAGTGCACTAACTATAGGTGACGCTAGCCTCGGTCAACGGTTTCCTAGAAGGGAATCTTAACTGACACGCAAAATAAGCAGGATTCGAAATCCTTTTGGTGCCAACCAGCAAAAAGCATTGGACCGACAAAAGTAATCCTCGATATTAAGTAGTGTAAGACGAAGAGACTAATAATCTCACGCGAAGGCGGTACCTAGAAGTTCAAGCCTCACATGATATGAGGTTCCTTTGCAGACTTCGGTGAACACGGAATTCACTTGACCAGACTAGCGTAAATCACCGAGTTTACTAGATAAATGTATTATCATTGCTAACCGAACGGGTTTCTGCTGCAAACGGATGAAACATGATCTTTCAGCTCTGAAGAACACTCAATTTGCCAAGGGATATAACGGTTTCATTCTAACACTGACCTCCTCGTCATGAAACCTCGCCGCCAACTAAGCAACCGAATAAGAAATGAAGCCAGCGGTTAGAGAATCTTATCGATCGTCCAGAAACGGGTTTTTGCGCGATACACCCTAAGCCACTGGTGGAGGAAGGAAGACCGATATTGGCTATGCGGATTAATGTGATAAACAGCTGCGCTATACCGCAATCGATATTAAAGCGTCAGCTGTCAACCATGGTTGACGCGGGAACGGACGTAGCCCCAACCAAAATCGACGAAAAATATATTTTTGTTCGCAGACAGCCATCAACGACATAAAATCCGCTTTATATATGAGAGCATTACGCTGATCAGTAAAACCTAAAACCAGTCTCATAATGCCAGTAGCTTAGATTCTGAAATAAACACTCGCTTGTAGCTCTGTTTCAGAATAACCAGTAATATTTGAGAGACAGCAGTGAGCACAAAAACCGAAGAAATGTTAAAACTTTCGAGCTATAAAAAAGTTGGCAATTTTCCAGAGAAATACTAAAAAAAACTGATACGATTAGTCATCCATATCTCCGGATACGGTGACCAATTCGAAAACAGCGGTTTGAAATGTGAATATGAAAACCCGGCAACTGACAAACAAACCGACCAATGGCCTTATTAGGAAACGATGTGATATCGTCTGTCGAAGAACAGAGATCCTAATTTCCATATTCAAACGTTACAAAAAGCATGGTCAACCTGAAAAAATTCTCCCGTTAATCAAGGTCACTGCAATTACGAACGATCTTCAGCCAGCAGGGCAAGAGTGCTTTGGACCCTTGGTATACCAAAGATATTTGATTGAATACTCCAACTCTGTTACAGAGTCAATCATCTGTTGCTTTTATAGTTATGCTATAATAACACCTAGAATAGGAAACGACTTTCAGAACCATGCTTCGTGATGGTATGATTCAAGAGGCGCAAAAAGTAGAAATTAAACATGGAACTGTGCTTAATTTGAGTCCACGTCGTCAAATTTTAAGAAAGTCGAATGGTTGGTGTCGCCGGATCAAACTGACATTATCCTGGGTTCAATGGTGCGTTGAATGAACAACAGGTCGACGGATGGATGAGATAATCTTCAACTTCAAGTTTACTAAATTAAAAGGGATGAAGTTGGTTATCCTTTTACAGTCCGACGCGTAATTCCAACAAAGAAGAACAAGAGCAGTAGAAAATACTCTGGCAATCCTGACTGCGTCTGGCAAAGTCACCATCGCCTTGTCTCCGTTGTGCTGTGTTTTTCGTTTACTAACAAACGTAAATATCCTTCTCTGTTCTTGCATGGGATGGTCACTTGTCATGTTTCTTAAGAAAAACTGAAGTAAAAATAAACGAATGAATTACAGAGGTATTTTGCGTACACAAGTTGCCGGTTTGCGCAAAATTTTGAGGACTTCGTGAAAA